AGCACCTCACACACACACTATGAAATGAGAAAACTGGCACTTCTTACTAAAGCAAATACGAAAAAAGAAATAAATCTACGGATATCACAGCTAAACATCTCACAGAAGCGGAAAAGGTTATTGTACAAACGTCTCTCTTCCAACGAGTTCGATCAAAGTATCCAGCAGGTTTTGTGTTTTCCTTTCTGTTTTTTGCTCTTTGGAGGCTGAAGAACCACCTTGATTGCAGTATCAAATACAGCCTTCACATTCTACATTACAAAGAATATTTTCTCAATTAGTTTTGGCTCATAATGCTGACAAGCTGCATGCATTGTAGGTTTGCCCTGAATTATTAGCTTACACAAAATGTTTTCCAAGTCTGGTATATAACACTCTTCTGGTTTCAGAATGTCCTAAAGGAAGCTAGGTGAACTTTGAGCATTTTGTTCCGAAGAATGTTTGCTTGTTTTGAAGTGCATCTAGACTTGTTAATCGTGTTTCATGTACTAATCTTTTAAAGTTCCGATACTTGAAAGGTTCAAGATTACCTGCTGTGTCTTGGCGCTGCACTCAACGTATGCCACTGCACCTATTTGCTTTTTCAGTTCTTCGCCCTGTCATTTTAAAGAAGATTAGTAAAAGCTTTAGCAAATTTGCAATATGAGAAAGTGTGCTTAAAGACAAAAACTTGAATGAATTTTCCCTTCTACATCATTCGGTAATCTATGACTTAATTTATCATGTTTATTTGAATTACATCCAAGGCCTTGACCTTGAAATCCCACTTTTTTTTTTATCCTTTACAATTGTGCAAATGGATTTGCACTGTTCAACCAAAAGAAATGCAGATTTCATTTTTTTTTTTTTCTGTTTTTTCTTTGGATAGAGAAGGTGAGGGGGTCACTGTGATGCGGTAGGAGAGAGGATGAGCTCGGAAATGGGCCACTGTTCCTTTTCGTAGTATACTTGAGTTGGCCATTTTGATACAACTTTCCAGCCTAAAAGTTTCTAAGCCTATTATTAGGAGAGATTCACACACCTAAAAAGACACTTTAATTTCTTCAAGTTTTACTTTGTTTTTCGACATGTCTTACTTTATCTTCTCCTTATCCCTTTCCTTTCTTTTCTTTATAAGGAAGTGGAGCATGAACTGGATTTTCGGATAAGCTACATCAAACTTTTGATAGATTCAATACGTATACCTGTTCTGTTGAAATTGTACATGCACCAGGGTAGTCCCTTCTAAATTGCTTGTCCTCTCTTAAATCTGTCACATTTGAACTCTGTTTAGATAGAAATTTAGACACAAAGAGTGATAGATAAGTTTGGTGTCATCCTCTGCATGAACCAGCTATTGGCCCCACATTATAATATAGTGGAAGGTTATATGCCAGTAAAAACGTAACGTGCATTGCTATGTCAGCGCAACAAATGGATTAACCATCCTTTGTTAAACAAACACTTGGGAAACCACAACAGATCATGTTAAAGGCTTTTTTCTGCAGTTCACAGTTGTTGGTTGATAAATAGCCTGAAATTATCCAAAAAATGGTGTAGTCTTACCAAGAATAAACGCAAGAGAACCTAAGTTTGAAGAAGAGTTTTAGTTCAAAGTATAGGGAGAGGGAGAGAGAGACAACTGGATCAGTCAACTAAGCTTTGAACACTAAGTGACGAGAAAGAAGTCATACTAAACTAAAGAAGAACATGAAGCATCGGGTCATGGAGAAGAATAAGATCACAGAATGCAACAAACCGCTTAAACATGAGCGCATAATTTCTCGCCTATCATGAGTTTGACTTGTGGTATAAGGTTGTCAGACCATTTGGCTCAGAGTTAACCACATAAAAGAGAAGCTTCATTCCATTCCCTTGGTAATATTTGAAGGCCCAAAGGATATTCCAAAGTGGGCATTTGGGCTAGTACATGTGATACAAGTGAACTAGTGTAAGATACAATGTCGATAGATGTAGAGGGTAATTCTCCCCATCAAGAAAGTGAAAAAATAACAGAAAGAAAGAAGAGAAGCTGTGGTGCAATATTATCACTACATAATTCATATAAACAATTTTGTAAACAATACATTCTGCTATATGGCATATGTGTGTGTCTGTGTATGTATGTGTCTGCATGTACACGTATATGTATATAAGTGTAAACAAAATAATGATTTCTGTTAGCTCTTTTGTTGATTAGGCATTAGAAGACTAGTTCAAAACCGGGATACACTTTAATATACAGTATCTGCAAAATTCACAATTGTTAAAGGGTAACAAAAGGGGAAAGCAGTTTAACAAAGGGAAAAGGCATATATCCTCTCAAGAGCAACTAGTAAAGCAGAGGAATCTTAAATGGAAAGAAAACTCACCCAATTTAGTCCCCACAAGAACAATAGGCACTGATGGGGCATAATGTCTCAGCTCAGGAACCCACTTTTCCAACATAACAAAGAAAAAAAAAGCAAAGGATGATGTCAGGATTACATGATCAGAGAAGCAAAAGAAATACGCAACCACCGGACACAGCAAGCAATTAAAATTGAAAGTTGAGGAAGCAAAAGCATACCTTTTTTGATATATTTTCAAAGCTAGGCCTACTTATGAGAGAGAACGCGAGCAGGAAGACGTCAGCTCCTCGATAACTAAGAGGCCTAAGCCTGTTATAATCCTCTTGACCTGTGAAGAGTAGTTTAACACTCACAACTTTATCATGTAATGACTTCTTGAAAAAGACATGTTATGTTATCTTGCTCATTATCCATTACTACTTTTTTACTAAAGACTCAATCGGCATCATTGCAGCTTTTTCTAGGTCAATGTTCCATAAAATTTTATCCAACAGAAAATGGTTTTCTCATTTCAATTTACTGGTTTATGAGGATGCTTTATTGCTTTCCTGAGTTTTAATTTATTGGGAAGAAAAAAAGTAAGAATGAGAATCATTAAGGTATAACTTTTGTAAACACTTTGTGATGTGAATCAAAAGCAAACAAATTTTTTAGTGAAAAAATACTGGAAGCAGAACACAACCTTGATTTTCACAGTAAAGTACAAAATTTTCATCTTGATTGCTGATGATGATTTTTTTCTAAATCATACTACTAAGAGCATTGCATGATCAATTGATTGTTTGGAAGAGAAAGAGTAAACAATTGTCCTAGGGCTTAACTGGAGTTCAACATTCACATTCCAAACTGTGGCGAAGCCACATGGTTACAAGGGTGGTCAGTTCATCGAAAAATTGTGTTGTGTATATTGATAAAATATTGCGTTTTAGAGGTATATAACACATATCGAACACCCTTTATCGGTATTTTTTCACTTCTTTCAAAGTTGAATACCCTCGAGTAAATTCCTAGCTTCGCCACTAGCTTCTCCACTGATTCCAATGAATGATTTTCAAGAGTGGAAAGATGAATGCAGCTTAAGAGTAAAGACCAAAGTTGACAACTTTAATGAAAGAAATACTTATTCTTGATCTGCATCAGAATTATATACTGTAATTAGTAAGAAAACAAGAAATTTTCATACCAGCAGTATCCCAAAGACCCAAATTCACAATCTTCCCATCAACATTGACATTGGCACTGAAATTGTCAAAAACAGTTGGCACATAATCCTGGAGAAACAAAGATACACAGACATAAATCCATAATGAAGAACAAAAAAAAAAAAGAAGATGAAAAATAGACAAAAATTTGAATAGTTACATACAGTTGGAAAAGTGTTGCTAGTGTAGGAGATGAGAAGGCAAGTTTTTCCAACAGCACCATCTCCAACAGTAACACATTTGATGAACTTTGTTCCTGTTGCAGTAGCATTATTACTGGCACTACTATTAGTATTCATCTCATCAATTAGAAAGATAACAAAGAAAAGCACTAGTTTCTGAGTTTCTATGAAGTTGATGTGGGAAAAAGATTCAAGAAACCTTTTGTTAAAGTGGTATTGTTGCTACTATTTTAGTGAGGGGCAGGAAAATGTGGGACAAAGGGAGGGAACAAGAAAAAGCATAACAAAGATTTTATAGGAGCCTTTTTCGGCAGGAAAGTAGTGAAGGGTGACTTTATTTTGAGCTGTCACAGAGGGAAATATATATATATATATATATATATATATATATGTGAGAGAATTTAATTACAGAGTCTTTCATATTTCCACCTAATCATGACGCTCCACTTAGAGGCCCTAAAATTTGGAAAGGGAGGCCATACACTATAGTTCTTTTTCTTATTACTAGTGTTTTAGAAAGGTTTTTTTTTTTTTTTTGGACTCACTCGGAGCTCGCTCCTGGATAGGACACTTGTAAAATGTCCTGAGGCACATGCGAGACTTTGTTTTTTGAGGCTTACGTGTTACGTTTCAAGCGTTTGACTGTGTATCCGAAGCACACCTAACACTCAAACTCAATGTTCGAGAGTAGCCCAATTGTTTCTGTGTAAATTATGTGTCAAATACCCTAGTTAGCAATGTTGGCTCACAAAATTCTTTAACACATTATAATTTTTACTTATCTATAAAAATTTAAAGATGAGGAATAACTCATATAATGAGTTATAATATCGCATATTTTATGATTGAAAACACTGTGAGAGTAAACACTGCTTAAATTTTTCTTTTTGAATATATAGCCAAAGTTATATCTTTCACTTGCTATTGGTTTTCACATCGTAGTTCTTTGGTTCTCAAAATTATTGAACTTCTATAACTTTGATATCTGAAAGCAATTTTGTCTTATACATGAAGGAGTAAGGCTTGGCTATGGATATTTTTGTCTAAATGTTATTTTCGCATTAAAATATGGCTATTTTTCAAAAATATTTGAAAAGGTAGCAAAACTTTTGAGTACCGGTCCAAAAAGTGGTTATGAAACAAATTGAGAGTTTATTTGGATTCAATTTTGGGTCAAATAGAGACAGATCTCTGATTAGGCCCAATTGATATGGACCACAATTCAGATGGACCGGTCTATTTCATTCCGGGTCAACTTACTTCATAGTCGGCGAAATTCGACCCGAAGAATAAAACAGAAAATATACGCAGTCGAATTCTGTGAAATTGCAGAGCGGAAATCGAAAAAAGTAAGGCAAAATGGCGAGTTCGAAAATCCAAACACCGGCATATCCAAGTGCAGCAAGAATTTCTGATTCCGATTGCTACCCTCAGTACACTGCTTCTCTCAAATGTAACTGCACTGCAACTTTGTTCTTCGATCATCTTCTGTTTTTGCAGTACTTGTATTTACTGACTAGGATTTTTTTTTACTCATGATCATTATTTGAATTTTGATATATAATGACTTTTATTATGATTATATTACTCTTTTTATTATCTGGGTATAGAATTCCTTACTAAGAAATTAGGTCCTTATGTGCCATCTGCGCCTCAGCTGCAAATTTGAACATATGTTTCTGTTTGATATTTGAATTAAACAGAACTTATTTGTAAAGATAATTGCATAAATGAGTTGTCCCAAAATTTGTTCGAAGAATACTTGGTAATTGGTCAGAAAGCAATTAAGTAGCTTGATGCAATACTCTATTATCAAGATGAAGGTTTTTGTGTAAGGTTGGAAGGACCGTTACTGGAGCATTTTAGTTTGCTAATTTAGGTCGTTAAAATTCATGGAGATATCCACACGTCGCACATATGACATTGTCCATGAACTTCTTGCAATATACAGCGTAGTGTTCTGTTTGAGATAACATGTTTGGTCTGAGTTGTGGAAAGTGTTTTACCTTCATATCAATACACTTTCATCGTCTGTATACTCGAGTGATAGAAATTTTGGATAATGCTTTTCCTTCATACCGATATGTTCAAAGACGTATTACTATAATGTTATGCAGTTGTTTCAGGGCATTGCTTAATTTGTGAATGCTTTGCAGGTTTGGAACAGTTTAACTCAGACAAGAGCAAATGTCAAGAACATTTTGATGTTTACAAGGAATGCAAGAAAAAGGAGGTATGCGTGTTAAGTATTTAACTAGTTCTTCTGCATCCTTATGTATGTTGATGAGGAAGGTAGTAGTTGTATATGTGCTCTGAGCTGTGATGCATGCGTGAGAATTTATGTAATGTGCAAGGTAGTATAAATTGTATCTACCCCTCTGATATAGAGTAGCTTCCCTTGTAAAATTGGACTTCGAGAGGTTCTTCTACGGACACTTTGAAATGATAATTTTTCTTATAGGGTGTGACTGAACTTGTAAAAAAATTTCAGACAAGTTGCTTTGAGACTCTGCATTAATAGTTATGAAAGGGAACAAGTTTTTGAGAAGCTTAAAGCAAACAAGCCTAGGTGTAAGATTGAATACTGATTAAGATTCATTTACATGTCAGTTAAATTATCTACTCTTGCCACTAGCCAGTCCTCGATTGGATCACTAGTAATGCAGCCTATACTCAAACCTGAATCTATAGAGAGAACATGCTCTTCTGTTTCTTTTTTGTCACTTGGAATTAGCTCAAGAATATTTACTTTATGGAGCTCTTTTAAAATTTAGCTTTTGTTGTGCGTAAGCAGGGAGGTAGTGGTGGAGGGAACATAAATTACCAAGTACTCAAATTCTTATGGTTTCTAGGTGTTTTTGACATTGACATCATGGCATGGTTTTGCTGCTTTGTGCTTTATATAATTGTTTTTAAAATAATCGCCTTTCTTGCACCTTCTGATTATTACCCCCCCCCCCCCCCCCCCCCCCTCCCCCTTCTTCCTGGGTAACAATTCTTTCTGATATTTCATTTTCATTTTCTGGCATGTTGCAGAGGGAGGCTCGGCTGGAGCGCAATCGAAGTCGTTCTCTGTTTTCATGAATCATAAAAATTGAAGTTGATAGTATTATCATTTTAAAATCTTATCAGGCATAACATTTTCATGTAACTTATTCCAAGAAACAACTGTAATGCAGATCCTTCATGTTAGAATGAATGATGATCGTGTTTGTTGTAGCCTTTTGGCTCGTCTTTGGTTATAGGCTTATTTATTCCGTTTTCAATTGAAATAAATGATGAGGATGGTGCTGAAGATATTTTAATGTTGATTTACAGGCCAGTGGGACTATGTTTTCCTTTTTTGATAGTTTTCTTGGTGCAAATCTTCGAGTTTCTAATCTGTTCCGTAAACAAAGAGGGGTTATATACACTGCAGTGTTCTATTTGCGACTGCTTTTCTTCTCAATCTCAAGTGGGTTCAGTTGGTTGCTCTAATGTCAAAGCGATTCACGATCAAGACTTGTGTATACTCTATATGATTCTTTTATCATCTTCTTGATCTTGGCACCAATGCTTGATAAGATTAGCTTGCATTTGGGGCAAGTAATTCTATAAGATTCGTTTGTGAGGATGAGAACAACAAATGAATGGAACATGTATCCTCGAGTTTTTTAAGGGGTTCCTTTGTTGCTTCGAAGAAGTGTTGAATACAGAATTGAAGAACAGCACAAGTGCATTATCATGTATTGACAGCACAAGTAGTATCTCTTGTTCCTCTGTTGTATTGCTTGAGGAGACAGGCTGCTAAAGTACATCATTTACAGACTCCTCCTGAACCTTTCTCAGATCAATTCAACTTAACATAATCACAGGCATTCTCAAATATCAACAACGAAAAATGTGTCAAATTCTTTCAAGATATAGATTAACACCATGCTCAGGTTCTATGACTAATCTAAAAACTGGGCTATGTTGATATCTTGGGGACAACGAAAATGTAAACCTAGACAGAATCATCGATACAATCACCTTCAGTTCAATCATAGCAAGATTTTGCCCCGCACAGGTTCTACTCCCTATTCCAAAAGGTATATAAGCATTTGGGACTTTGCAAGCCTTTGCAATGCCCTTGCCAAATCTTTCTGGATTGAATTGATCTGTATCTGGTCCCCAGAGTTCCGGCTGTTGGTGTAGGATTGGGATATGAATCTGAATATTAGTCCCTTTTGGAATCTCAATATCTTTGAAACTTATATCCTGCAATGCTTCTCTAACCACAAAAGCTACTGGTGGGTACAAACGCAACGTTTCATGGATGATCATTGTCAGCTGCCAAACAATATGTATACATGTTAGGGATCCAGGTACAGAATATATGTGAATATCAATTATCTGGGCTTTAGCTTACTGCATACCACTTTCATTCGTTTCAGCATATCATTATTTGGCAACTCACTACCACAGACATCGAGCACCTCAGCTCGGGCACGAGCTTGCCATTCTGGATATGCAGCTAGTAACATCAAGCACCAGGATGCTGTGAGGGAAATGGTCTCATGGCCAGCGAAGTATATGTTCTTGCAATTATCAACGATGAATGTATCAGGAGTAATACCAGCCGGTAGTTTATCACCACTTTCTTCGTAACTCTTAGCAGCATCAAGAATCAACTTTAGAAGGTCTTTCTCACAGGTCGCATTGCTCCGCGCTCTTACTATCTTCAATATCATTGCTTTAATCTCCTTTTCCAATCTCCATATCTCCCTATTATGTTTGTTTGGTATATGCCTGTGACAATCCAGCCATTCAGAACATTGTGGGAAAATTATCTGTTACTACCATGAGTTACTTTAATACTAGGCTTTCCTTGAGGTGAAAAGAGGAAAGTAGCTAGAGGGAAACAATTACATCAGTAGTTTGTATGTAAGTAAAAGAGGAGGGAAAGGAAGGAGGATTAAGTAATCCTTGATATCAACCTCTCAAAGAAAAGAAAAAGATTTATTCTTACTCACTCATTTACCCTTTCCTTGCCCTTTTGCAGAGCTAAACAACAACAACAAGCCCACTGTAATCCCATAGGTGGGGTCTGGGGAGCATAGTGTGTACGCAGATCTTACTCTTACCTTATAAAGGTAGAGTTTTCGATAGACACTCGACTCCTTTTGCAGAGCTAAACATAGTTCTAATTTAGCAACGATATTTTTACCTCAATCCAGGAACTCCAATGGGAACCTTAGACATAACCCTTTGTAGGGTTTGAAGTTTTAGGAAGATTTGTTCTCCCTCAGCATAGTTGCTCCCAAAACAAGCTCTTGATATTATATCTGCTGACAAACTCTTGAGATCACCTTCCACCTTAACCTCCAATTTTCCTTCTGAATTTCTGATTTTCTCATCCCATGATTCTATCATTTTACTGGTGGATTCAACCATCAGCTTCACCATCTCCTGCATAATCAGTACATGTTTGAAATTCTTGTCTCATGATTAGATTTCTTCAACTTAACAAATACAAGTGCATATAGCTGTGAATGGAAATGTACCTTAACTTTGTTGAGATAGAATTCAGGGGCAATAATCTTTCTCTGGTGAGCCCAGTAAGTGCCATTTGAAGAGAAAATGCCTTGGCCAAGCAGAGGACCGCGATCATTGGATAGGTAAGATGGCTTCCCCAGGTTTAAAGATGTGCATAGGCTGATTTCTTTCACCATTTCTACATCAGTTGTACAAATTGTCTGTATAATTCCAGCTGAATACATGAATGTTGACCCTGTAATTTAAACACAGACAAACCACATGAGCAAAAAAATAAAGGAAAGAATTAAAGTCATTACAATCATATGAAGGTGGTATGTATATAAGTGCCAAGATTTGACCATATTCAAGTTGCCACTGTTTAATATGTGAGAACACTATTGCTGGCCATGTATGGAACAAAGGGCTGCTTCCTTCTATTTCTTGATTGTTGGTTTCTGGCCTTGGCTGCTTCTGGTTCTGAAGTTGAATTTTCTTGATATCAGGGAGATTTCCATAGAGAAAAGATGGTGGAGGTCCCTTAATTCCTTGGCTTTGAAGTTTTGATCTTACTTTTCTTGGATGCAATATTAAAATATTGCTGAGATGTGCAAAGAATACCAGAAATCCACCTAAAACCAGTGATAAAATGATCTTGGCTGAAAACATCAGTAACTGTTCTGCTTCCATTTCAAATTCCTCCAAACTGATGGTTTCCAATCTTCTGCTGTATATTAATAGTTGAAACAATCTGTTTATGAATGAACAAAAGGAAATAAATATTGGGGCTAAATTTTGTGAGAATGATGAAATAAATTGATTTGTTTTATTTTGTTACTTAGTTTTATTCAGAGACACACATTGTTTATTTGATTAAAATTGTACATGAAAAAGAGGATTGTAAGGTGTACACACGTGGTATATTACCAGGATAGGTCGTAAGACTGTAAGAGAAGGAGTGGGTGAGACAGAATGCTTCTTTTTGTTGAACAAACAAATAAAGTAACTTTATTGATATGAGCAAATCGGGCATTTGGTCTAGTGGTATGATTCTCGCTTAGGGTGCGAGAGGTCCCGAGTTCAATTCTCGGAATGCCCCTTATTTTTGCTTTTTTCTCTCATTTCTCATTTTATGGGCTTGAGTTTTTCTCTTTATTATTTGGGCTTCTGTTTCTATGTGAACTTACTGAGCTTGGGCTTTCTGCAATTGGACCTCCATTAGAAGTCTAACTTTCCACTATTATGTAGAAGTGAAGGATAAACGTTTTTTTGGCGACCTTTTAGCAAATCAGCAACATGATAGAGAATTGGACTAGCACAGTCGAAATGAAAAAGGGAGAAGGCACATTCTAAAAGAAAATAATCATTTAATCTCTTTTACTTATTGAGCTACAATAATTACTAATAATGGAGTATCTATTAGTCAAGACTCAACTTGTCGAATTATAATGAGTATATAGTTGTTGGTCAAATATATATTTAAATACTAGTATCATATATTTAGGCTTTCGACCTAATAATTATTCTGATGTTATTTTGTTTGATGTTACAAGCAATTGACAATGTATAAGAAGTCACTTTGTCTTTCCAGACTGTCTTTTGCGTGCTATTTCTTACGCCCTGAGAAAGAACCTCCACTTGGGAGGATTATTATTTTTACAATTGTTACATTATTATTTTAAGTTATTATAAGTTAATACTAAAAATAATATCTACAAATACTTACTTATGTAATAAATCATTTTTTTTGCAGTAATTTATACAGTTGAATTCCAAAAGCGAGGCTTGCCTCATGCATACATCTTGCTTTTTCTTCGTAATAAATACCCAAATATCGCAGATATTGATGGAATATTTTCAATAAAATTACCAAATAAAAAAAAGCCGATCCTCAATATTATAAGGCCATTACCAATTTTATGATGCATGGCCCGTGTGGTTCTGCTAGAAAATCTTCTCCTTGCATGCAGAACGGCAAATGCACAAAGCACTTTTCAAAAAAAATTGTGCCATCAACCACAGTTGATAAAGATGGATATCCCACTTATAGAAGAAGGGATGATGGTAGAACTACATTGAGGTAAAATCTGTAATATATATATATATATATATATTTAGAGCACCATAATTTAGAGCTATATAAAAAACTATAGCCAAAATAATTAATTTCAAACTATGTATTTTTATAACTTTTTAGATACCTTGACTATTTGTTTCAATTGTATATATCTTTATTTTCAGGTCAAATTCAAAAAAGATAACTAAAAACTTTATTATTTTTAGCTAAATAAAAAATTTAGCCTAAATAATGTAGTTCTATCCAAGTTTTATTATAGTAGCGACCCGACTGGTCGTTTTGCTTTTTAGGACCCCGTTCCCCTAGATAAGACTTCCCGTACTTGCTTTTACTGATTTATGACTTGTGGGAATGGTTAGTTCGGGATTTGGAAGAGTTTGGGTTGAAATCGGGACACTTGGTTCTTTAAGGTTGGCTTAAAAGGCCAAGTTTGACTTCGGTCAACGTTTTGAGCAAACGACCTCGGGATCTGGATTTGAAGATTCCAACAGGTTCGTATGATAATTTTGGACTTGGGCGTATGTCAGGATCGGGTTTTGGATGACCTGGGAGCGTTTTGGTGCCTAATAGTGAAAGTTGATTCCTTAAGGATTTTGAAGTTCTTAAATATTTGGTTTGGAGCGGGTTTTTGAGTTATCGAGGTTCGAACGGAGTTCCGAGACCGGGAATAGTTCCGTATTGCCATTTAAGGCTTGCACGCAAAATTTGGTGCCAATCCGAGTAGTGTAAGTGTTTTTCGTCGCATTGGAAGTAAATTGAAGAACTTGAA